TTTGTCACTATATTGCCACACAATGGGATAGGGCGACTCAATCAAGCCGTGATGTGCAACTGTGCACTTTTAAACAAATTGGCCTAATAAAGTCCAACTACGTCGTGCTAATGGGCTTATAGTTCGTCTAGATTGATTTAATGTAAAATAATTCACGTACACATTTACAAAGTTTGTTTAGTGAAATATCAAAGGACAAGCTTTTAGAGATATTGAGATAATCAATTTCGTTATCCAATAAAGAGTTTATCTAGCGTCCATTCGATTCCGAAACAAATTCCCATATTAATTAAGTCAATAATACAAGTTTTGATTAACACATTCTTCTCCTAATCTTTTACTATGTCAAAGTCTTAAACTTTTAGATAAATTAAGCACATCATGTTGTAACAAACAACTTATCTCATTTTAAACAAAAGAAGAAAAAAAAATTGAGTCATTTTAATGGTACAAAAATTCTGAATAAAAAAATAATAATAATAAAGAGGAAAAAAGAGAGCTTATCTACTATCGCCAGTGCGGAAAACGGACCAATCGAGCCAATCAAAGTCGAGTTGGCTGACCTGCCCATTTCCACCACTAACAATTGCCGACACTGTTTATATATTTTTATTTGATAACCGAAATAATTGAGTTTCTTAACGGATTTGTAAATTGTTTTGCGTCAATTTCAATTTGTTATTATCCGTTCCTCTCTGATCAGTACTATAAGTTCGGTTCTTAGTGGTGAAGGAGACTAACGCTGACACATGGTGGAGATCAAGAGCATCGGGGTGGTGGGGGGCGGACAAATGGGCTCCGGCATCGCCCAACTCGCCGCCGCGAACGGGCTTGATGTCATCCTTCACGACTCTGACTCCACAGCTCTCAATAATGCGCTTAAATCAATCTCTGACAACATTCAACGTCTCATTTCCAGAGGCCATCTGTCCAAGGTACCCTGAGTCTGTGTAGTATGGCAGTTCAGCCAAGATCTAATTTTTCTGTCTGATAATTAAAAGTGGGTTCTTGCTTTTGACTTGTTAGCTTCCAACTTTTTGTTTTCTTTTGTTTTTTGAATTTTGTTCTTTTCACCCGTTTTTCGCTCCTTTTGATCAATTCCTTCAATTTGCATGGAGTTTTACCTAACAAAAGAAATATGTACACAATCAAGTCGCAAGTCATCAAAATTAATTACAATTAACTGTTGGAAAATTGGTTCTTATTAGTTCGTTCGATCAATTATTTTAGTGGATCCGTTTGTTGGACAAAATATTTCTTTGGCAGAGTATGTTGTACTCCATAAGTAGATTAATGTTATGTATTTATTTTTTCAAAACCAATTTAGGGTTTGTGAGAAATTAAGGCCAAAAGATGACTACTTGAAGTTGAAATAAAGCTACAAATTGGAAAAATGTCAATCCTATATAAGAAATCTAGAAGAGTATAAACCACTTTATATTGATCAAGTTTGAAATTTGAGTTTGTTCCCAAGGGGTACCAATAATCTTTGAAGGTGAAAGAACCTACATGCTAGTAGGTTGAGTCAAAGCCCACACGCGCGTAGTCTTCGCCGCCTTCCGGTTGGCCGACTCGGCTCGGCACAACATAGGTCGTGGGCTTGGGCTTGACTTGGATTTGAGCCAAGCTCATATATATTTTTAGTAAAATAATATTTGATTTTTATATTTTTTTTATTATTTAAAGTAATAATATATTTAATTTATATAATTTTTTTCCCGATTTTTCTGTGTGTGACATGTGGAATCTTCTAAAAGGGTGGTTGACGGTTGACAGTTAAACTGCCTGTCTGCCTGTCCAAACGGTTTGTGTCTGTTGAAGACACAACTTTTCGATTGTTGTGTCTTTTGGACACAACTTTTCAACTTATATATATAGGCTCATATACCCCGGTTTTCATTCACTCCAAAATCAATTTTGATTTTATTCTTGTTCCGAAATTATTCTTTCATCCCTGCATTATTCATATTTTGCAATCCAATCTCGAAAAATTATTTTCGTGTATTTTAGTCCTCAAATTTTAGAGAGATCAAAACGTGAGTAGATTAGCCGAGTTTTGTAATTTGTTGTGCTACTATTACAAGTCGAGGTCGTTGTATCTTGGGAGACAAATGTCGGAATACCGTCAGCACCAGTGCGGGGCATTATCATCTTAAGGAGAAAGAGTCGAACTCTTGCTTCGACCAATAACATTTTATAGCATTCATTGTGCATGACGCTATCCTGCCTAAATCAATTCGTGGTGATATAATTATTTGCCAACAATCTTCAACATTAGCATCATTTAAAGGCCCTGTAAGGGTACGTGCTTTTTATGGAGATTGTGGGCTTTTTCAGCAATACAAAATACTTGCTGCTAAAGCTTGTTTAACATATCTGATTAGCTGATGAATGTTTCTAAGGTCAATTGTTTTAAGGGCGTGTTTCGATTGCAATTTCACTTTTATGCAGGATAAAGGTGCTGATGCTTTCAGGCATTTAAAGGGTGCTTCGAGTTTGGAGGATTTTCATTCAGTAGATATTGTAATTGAGGCCATTGTGGAGTCTGAGGATGTGAAGAAGAAACTGTTTGCTCATTTGGATAAGATTGTAAAAGGTTCTGCAATCTTGGCATCTAATACAAGCTCTATTTCAGTTACTCGGTTAGCCTCCGTAACCAGTCGATCCAGCCAGGTGTTTATCTCTTTACTGGACATCTAAACACCATGTGCTAATAACCTGTAGCGATTAATGATTAAACATGACTCAGATTATTGGTAATGAACTATTATTGCTTAGCTTAAAGATAGTATAGATGTGAGTGTTGAATTGGATCATCTTTATTGAATGCTTATATTTTCCATACAAATATATAGAAAGAGGACTGAATTGATATAGAGGAATGGTCATTGCGTTGGAATGGCGTAGTGGAGAAACAATTATTGACTGTCATCTCCCTCTTTGCAAGATAATAATTAGTTCGACTTGTATCAGACTGTTTTCTTAGTTATGTACTTACGTTGCTGTATCAAATATTAAGTGCCCTTCTAAAATTCCTATATTGCCATATATCTGCAGTACCCAAAAGGGAATGTTGTTATTTAAATGGGTATTTGAAGGAGATCTAGGATTTTCTTGAGACTTAGAGAAGTTTGAAGAGTACATTTGTGGACCATAAGGCCTGGCGAGCGCTAAGTGCCAAGTCAGCTTGGATTTTTCATTCCTACGAGATATATGGTACTCAAGCTCAATGCAGGATTTGTGGAATTATTGGATTTAGTAACTGAACAGAGCCTACCAAGATGAGCTGTAAATAGTAATAATCTGTCATCACTCAAAAGTTATGAATGATTGATATGATGAATAATTATTTTAAATGTTTTGATGTCTACTAATTACATTTTTACTTATAAATACTTTACCTGAATCACCTTATGCCTACTGTTTAATTATATGCGTACATAGACTTGGGGCTAAATGCGAAAACTTTTCTTTAGGCTTTTGCCAATGTTTACATAAATATTATTTAATAATCTCAGCAATTAGTGACATTTTGCAATGAAAGTACTATAGAATAATATCAATTTTTTGTGCCTCCTGATCATTTTACGGTTTATTGATAATGATTTTGTGGTTTTGAGAGTAATAGTTGTTCATGAATGCCTGTAGCTGGTCACTCTCAGAAACATCCAGCAATTTAATTATTGCAATCCTTTTACTTGCTTGCTATAGCATCTGTGAGCATGTATTGGAGTAGATTGTGTTTCACCACCTATCTATATTTTTGTATTATGTTAGAGATTCAATCAACTATTTTATCGTTTCCAGGTGATTGGCATGCATTTTATGAATCCTCCACCTATAATGAAACTGGTTGAGATTGTTAGGGGTGCAGATACATCAGATGATACATTTAATACCACAAAATACTTGGCAGAGAGGTGTGTGAACAGAACACTAGTTACTGTGATATTATGATTATTGTTCATGTAAACGATAAGCTTGGAATTTTCATATCCCCGGTGGTTCACTGCAACGAGGTCTTTCTGTTTTTATGGCTACAATGCTAGGAATTTCTTACACCTGGTTAAGTACATAAAATTTTTCAACCAAAACGTGCTTTGATTTGATACATTGTCTATTGTGGTATAGCATTGAAATGTTCAGTCAAACCATGTTGTTGCTTTAGTAATAAAAAATTCTTACGAGAGCTTGCATCCCAAATGCTTATATAAAACTTCATTAAGGTCATTAAAGTCTCAACTAAAGTGAGGTGCATGGCTGTTACTTTATTTCCACTCTTCTGCACATCTGGACACGTCAAAATGGTAACAATTTGGAAATATGTTTTACTTTGTAGGAAACAATATTAAGGTTGTAGAGAAGTTACCAGAAAAACAAGGTAACAAGTTGGAAATATGTTTACTTTGTCAGGATAATAAACTTAATTTACAGAAAAGTTATCAACAACGATATTTGACAGAGGACATCAGGTTCTGATACTTTGACTGTTTTATTTACACAAGCGGTTCTCGAAAAGTTAGGGCCCAATATCATCTGCTACCCTAGGTACCTTCATTCCCTTCTACGTAAGCAGCCTTCAATTTCCTGCACCTTCTCATCAGTAGTCTTATTTTTTTTAGCAGTTATTAACTTATTATATGGATGCATTATAGTAGTGCGATAATTTTCTGCTGCTTTTTCCATTAAATGGCACCATGCGATTTCAGCTTCTTTGCCTGAGAAGTTTTCTGCTCAACTAATGGTCTGTTGCAGGTTTGGCAAGACAATTATTTGTTCTCAGGATTTTCCCGGCTTCATTGTGAACCGGATTCTAATGCCAATGATAAATGAAGCATTTCATGCACTATACGCGGGAGTAGCAACAAGGGAAGACATAGATACAGGCATGAAGCTGGGGACAAACCATCCGATGGGTCCTTTGGAACTTGCAGATTTTATTGGATTGGATGTTTGTCTGTCAATTATTAAAGTTCTTCATGCTGGCCTTGGGGACAGCAAGTATGCACCATGCCCACTTCTTGTGCAGTATGTTGATGCTGGTCGTCTCGGTAAAAAACGAGGTATTGGCGTGTACAATTACAGTAAAACAACCAAGGAAATGAAGCCGTTAGCTCGACTTTAATTTCTAATGTGAGAATAGCAAGGATCTAGATTATGCTTTTGTAAATATGACACCTATCTTGTCTTCCGCAACAAATTTCTTTCGCCCATCAGAATCTTATGTACTTTCTTTCTTGAGCTCAAGCTTGTTGTTGTATACTCTCTTCTGTTTATTCAAATAAACATTAAAATGCTAATGTTTCTCGTACGGATAAGAACATGTTTTCTTGCAGTATATTCTTTCTGGTCCTTTTACTATCCCACCTTAATGTCAAAAAAGGTTCCACTTTTTCTCTTAACGGGAATTCGGAAGCATCGAATGTCATAATCTCGATGGTGCTCTATTTCCAGGAGCAAAATAAGTTGAACCCCATGCCAATGTGGGAAGGAAGACTCTGTCGCCAGGCACCTAGAATAGTAAAATACGTGGGGTCAGGGGCTGCCAAAGCAGTTGGTATTTCAATCTCATAATAATCAGAATACGATATATAGACTATCCTTTTGTAAACTCCTGTTCCTTATTGCATGCCAGCCTAGAAATCTTTTAGTGAGACAAAGATATCAAAGGGGTCCCTTCTTTATAGGGTAATGGCCGTGCATGACCCACAGAAGACAGCCCATTTGAGGGCAGTCCCTCAAGTTCATTAATTTCCTCATGGCAACCCCACTATCAGTCATCACTCTAGCTGTCTTCTTTGATAGGCTGGCGTTTTTTCTAAAGTGAAGAGTGATTGAAATGGAATCCACCGACAAAATAATGCATAATTGGATCATAAAAATGGAGTGGAGGGTAAAATACAAATGCTAAATCATTAGTTTCTATACATATTGGTTATCTGAAGCATTTGAGACAGGTTTAAGGCAGAACATGAAGTTCTTATTCCAATGCCCATGTTGCTCTTGTTTCTGCTTCGTGAAGCCCCAGAAGGGTAAACCAAAGGAGAAACCAGTCGAAGCCAAGCCTGCAAAACCAGTGGATGCCAAGCCTGCGAAACCAGTGGATGCCAAGCCTGAGAAACCAGTGGAAGCCAAGGCAGAAGCTAAGGCAGAAAAACCAGTGGAAAGTAAGACAGAGAAACCAGTTGAAGCGAAGGCAGAGTGACAGCCCGATTTATTTGGCAACGAAAATGCAACTACGACTACTTTTCACGTTCTCTTATTCCTGTTGGCAACTTAGCATGCATAAGCTCGACATGAAATTGATTGTTGAGGCATTTGCTCAATATTATGATGCTTGTATATTTCAATATATTTAGTTAAAACTAATCGATGGATAAAACGTTATGCACGAATCAAGATTGTGTTTGTAAATCCTGCTTAATTCTTAATACAATTAAGCAAGATATTTACTTTTTTTTGTCTAATGTTGTGTAGTCTATATTACCGAACCAGCCAACAGTGAATGAATGCACAGTGATCTTTCTCTCAAGGTCATATACAAGTTCTATCGAAGACCCTCGACTCCGAGGAAAAGATTTATTTTCTGGAATCAATTTCTTTTTCAAAATTTCTTCTGAAAAGGAAATTGGCACTTCGGCCGGTGAAGAAGAATCATTCTTGAATGTTATTACAAAAGTTGTCTGAGGTCCTCCTCTTGCACAATTTACCGGTGTCGTTTTCAATCGTTCTGCTTAGCTTCTTGTTGTCTTCAGTTGTTGCTCAAGGGTCTGGGAACAACACCGGTAAATAGCAAACAAAGGGTAAGATATCTCTCTTTTCCACACTCTACACAAAACAGACGTACATATACATATATATAGATGGCAACGTCAGCAAAGGCGGATCCAGCATTTTCGTTCAGCTAGGGCGGACCGTTGACTGATCAACGATCGTAATAGTTGAAAATAAAATCCAATACATAATAAATGCACTAAAATGTAAAAAGTATATACATATGAAAATATAATTCAATACAACCCAAAATACTTAATTGAGCCAAACATCTTCTCCATTAATTCAATGCAGTGTACACATTATTTAATTGAGCCAGACATCCTCTCCATTAATTTTTTTGCTTATCCCTAAATTTCAGAAAAACCTAAATTCCCAAATCACAAAATTCTCAAATCACAGATTCACAATTAACAACCACAATCACAATTCACAAATCAAAATTATAAGTCACAACTCATAAATCACAAATTCACAAAAACTAAAAAGAAAAAAGAAAACCTAAAATCACATACCACAGTCACAGTCTCACAGATAATTCTAGCAAGTAGCAAATACCTTTTTCAGTTTTTCTCTCAGGCCCAGCACTCGAGTCCAGCACAGAAG